GAATCCACACTGGTGAGAAACCTTATGGATGCTCTGAGTGTGGGAAATGCTTCAAACACAGCTATGTCCTGAGCAGACATCAGAGAATCCACACAGGACAGACGCCCTACACATGCTCTGAGTGTGGGAAAAGCTTTAATCAGAGCTCTGCCCTGATCACACATCAGAGAATCCACACAGGAGAGACCCCCTACACATGCCCTGAGTGTGGAAAACGCTTCAATCAGAGATCACACCTTATTAAACATCAGAAAATCCACATGAGAGAGAACTGGAACAAATGCCTTGTCTAGGGTTGGCCAAAGATGTTTTTTTTTAAAATCACATTTGCTAATTCCCACATAGTGATCTTTGCACCATCTTCACTGTGGTCTCTCAGCTCCACCAGATGAGTTGCCTGCTTCTGCCTTTTGCAGCTCACCTTCTTTGGGGTCAGTGCTGTGATCTTTTCTATCAACTCCTTTCCTTTTGAGTCGTAGGTGTGTGTGTTCCTCCAGCCAGGAATGTTCATCTGCTCCAGGTGGGAGAGAGAGGTTTGATCCCAACAAGCTGCACTGAGGCAAAAACTACCTGTGCCTTACATCCACTAGGACTGTACATGGCATTGGCTGCTCAATTTAGTGATCTTGGTGTAAAAAGACAATTATAGTTGTAGTGCAGAGGCAACCCAGGTGCAGTGGTTAGCTTTCCCCTTGACCTGACCTAAACTCCATCACTTTTCCTAGTCTAAACAAACCGTGAGCATCACAGTTATACTGTTCCCCCATTTCAAAGCAATTGTTAGTCATCAAGTTCCCCCTTTGGGAACAAATTGTTTCATTCCCAGTTGCTCTGATGTTGCTTCAAGTTGTGCTGGAGAGCAGATATTTTTACTTCCATTTTCCTCACTTAAAATATATTGAACTATAGCAAAGAACAGGGCAGGGATAGAGAAAAATGTCATTTCACCCTCTATAACAACAGAAGAAGATAGGGTAAGACAGAGGGATTTCCTTATTCCCCATCATCATCCCAATCCCTCTGTTGTTCAATTGGTTAGGTCAATATTTTCCCTAAAGGGCTGGCAAGAGAATTCCCTAGTAAATGATTTGTAACTAAGCAAAATACCCATGCATTTGTCTCCGAAAGCAGTTGTGGCCCAGGCCCTGCAGGAAGTCACTCCTGAAGATATCTCCTTCCTAATCAGGTGCATGTTGCCTATTATTTGGGAAATGCAATCCCTAGCTAGGTAGAGATGGGAAAAAGGGAAGTGACATTTCTGTTCATCTCACCCCTGGGAGATGCTGCAAATGTGTTGAAAATTAAATCCATGTTGAATGTAATATAGCTGCAGAAAGATACCTATTTTTAATAGATACCTGACTTTTGTTGTCTTACAGGGATTCTAAACCGCACCTGAATTTAGTCCCTAATTTAAATCTGTGCCACCAGATTAAGGAAATTAAAGGGCATATTTGGGGGAGTTATATCTCACTATCACTACTGATATGTTGTGTGGTTGATGAAGAATTCTACGCCAGAGAAGTGTAAAATTACTCCAAGTAAGGTCAAAGATTTGACAAGAACTCAGGTAGAAATTGCAGGTACAAGTGGTTGATTTTCACCCGAGATGAAAGCTATGGTGACCTGTAGCCCAGGTAAACTATTTTTAGGACACTGCTCCCTAGTTAAGTGGCATTGGTCACACTCCTAAAGGATGCCATGATTAAATTGGTCACAACTGTCTTTTACCATTTGGATCCAAAGTTTCATGAAGCACAGAGAAAAACAGCTAATTCCTTCAGAGCCATTCCATGCCTATGAGTCCCAATCTGGCTGCCTTGTTGGACAAGAAGCACTTCCATTCTGGGCAAATGATGGTAGCCAATGAGGGAATGTATCAGATTCCAAGTTCAGACTGCAGGATACATGAATGCTGAGTCCAGAGTCTGTGGTTTGGTCTCTTAGTTTTGCTCTTGAGTCTAATGCATTTGTATCACTTCTCCTCCTGCTACTTTGAAAGGTTAGAAAATGTGGAAATAGAGCACAGGTGTTTTTTCTCATGATGCAACCTACCCATGTAGTGTGAGACTCCTTCCACCCACACTTATGGGAGAAATGAACTCACAGAAATGGAAGGCTCCTAGGTTATTGTAGAATGTGACTTCACAGAAAGCTGACTGGGTGGAAATGGGAATTAAGAGAAAACTTCCCTATAGGTTTATATTTTGTAATCTTTGAATAAGTTGTTACCAGTGACAATGAAATTAAACATGAAGTTAATTAGTGTAAAGTAAGAGGCTGATTATGAAATGACTGCAGGCATGCTCCTTTACCTATGGAAGGATTCCAAGGAATTGAGCTGTCAGATATACATTGTTCAGCGAGAGCTGTTTGAACTTTTACTAATGTCTCAATAAGGTCTGTATCTGTGTTTTGGGGTGAGGAGAAGTATTAGCTACGCAATAGTGAAATCTAAGGAGAAAACTAATTAACTTTGAGGTTGTGGGCTAAATGTAAGCAATAGTTTGGTTTCGTTATTGAAATATTCAGCTGGCTAAATCTGGAATGCACTGCCTGGCTGAAAATCCGATTGGGGTTTCAGCATCACTAAATATGCCCCTGCCTTCTTGGGTTGCTGTTTTAGGATTTATAAGGATTGATTTTCTGCTGTATTAATCTGATGGTTTGACTAAATTAATGACTTGATTCCAACCCAATATCCTTGTTAACTCATTGATTTACTGATTTGATCTGAACTTTATCACTGCATTGTTTAACCCTTAGTTAGCTGAGTAGTATTTATAGTCATTTAGCCTTAGTGATGTGTGTTCTTGGTTTTATTTGTTCATGTTAATAAAATGTGTAACTGGGATATTGAGTCATTTCCTTCAATAAGCAACAGGGGCTGGAACCGTGGAGAATCTGAGCAGAGATCAGCCACTCCACGTCTGAGCCTTATCAGATTCCTCTAAATTAACAATTTGTTTCCCAAAGGGGAGCAATGGAGGGGGCATCTATCTTAGCTCCAGCTGTGTCCGGGTGGGGAGGGTGAGCTCAGATCATCACAAGGGAAAATAAGCTCCCCTACCCAGGCTTTCAGTAATTTGGGGAGGGGGTGTAGTGTGTCTGAGTGAGGAGAGATTAGTGAGGTGGGGCTGATCTGAGTAGAGGTCAGGGGTCTTGCTCTGCAGTCACTGTTATGGCCATGCCCAATCCGTACCCCAGTCTGGTTTGCCCAGGGGTTGTGCCTCATCAGGCAGAGATGGGGTTGGAGATCTGGTTGGAAGGGCTGTAAAAGGCAGTGAACAGCTTGTAGATTTCAGCCAGCGAGGTGTTGGCAGAGTAAGTGTGTGTGTGTGTGTGTGTGTGTTAATGGAACGTTGCTGAAAGAGGACAGGATGAAGGTAATGCAGGCAACTGGAACTGCGTCTCCTGCTTTTCAGAAGTTTGAGTTTTGCAGATGTAGAGATTCTGCAAGGGGCTGATATTGCACCAGCAAACCTTAACTCTACATTAAGGGAGTGTTTTACCCTTTAATTAATACTGCCTCCTCAGTATTAACTGGGCTGTGAGGCTGACTCCAGAGCTAAATGCTTAGAAAGAAAACAATGAAACTATCCATTGACTCATTTAAAACAAATCATGTCCCTCCTGTCTGCACTGGCAATGCTTTACCCTGTAAATAGCTCTCATTTCGTTTCTGAGTTAATAATTTTTTAGCTAGTTTCCTATAAAATTGGCTTTGGAGTGAGCTCTGAGGCCTAGTCTACACTAGCGCTACAAATTGATTTAAATTACACTAGTTAAGCTATGTAAACTACGTAACTCAAATGGAGATATCTTACATTGACTTAATGCGGTGTCTACACTGCACTATGTCAACGGAAGATGTTTTCCCATTGATGTACCTTCCGCCTTTCATTGAGGTGGATTAATTAAGATAACAGGAGAGTGCTGTCCTGTCAACTCATCACGTCTTTGCCAGACCGCTGTGTCGACCCCAGTGGTGCCGATTTAGCCGCGTAGTGTAGACAAGGCCTAAGGTGCAAGTGAGCTAAAGTACGTGATCGGTCCCTCGAGACTGGAAGTAACCTAAATATCTTCTGATGTTTGGAGTAAAACATCACACCCTTAAACGTGCTTGTGTGGTAAGATAGATTGGAGCGCCCAAGGGGACTGGGGCTGCACTGTGAGTCTGTCATAGTGCTTCAGGAGTTCACGGTTGGGCTGCTGAAATCTAATCATGGAACACAAATCCAGTTTGGGGCGTCTGCCCTGTTCTTTGACAGTCCATTGTGAGGTTGGCACTCCCGGTTATGAGCCATGCCAGGCAGCGTGACACTTCCGTCCCTGAGTTGTCGATAAGGCTTGGTCTACACTGTGAAATTAGGTTGGCATACCTATGTTGCTTGGGGGTGTAAAAAATCCACACCCCTGAGTGATGCAGTGACTGAACTAATCCCCAGTGTACACATCTGTGTCAGTGGGAGTGCTTCTCTCTGACACCAGCCCCAAATCCCCTTCATGCCCCCATCAATGCCCCCCAACCCCACACAACCTCCCATCACCACCCCACAGCCCAACTCTGCACACAAACCATCACCTCTAAACCATCCCAAATCCCCTTGATACCTCCACAGACTCCATCACACCACCATCCCGAAATTGCCGTCACTCACCTCATCAACCCCAAGCCTGCACACACCCATTTTCCCTTCCAGCTGTCCCCAAACCTCCTAAAATCGCAAACCCTCCGATCTCATATACCCCTCTCTCACTCATCGTCACCCACGCTGCACACAACCCCATGCTACAAACCACCCCAAATCCCCCTTACATCCTCCATCAAGCCTTTCCCTGTGCATACCTTTATCCACCCCTAACCATATGCACACACCCAGCACCACCACAAATTCCCTTCACACCCTCCACCTCCAGCTATGCACAGGACCCCATCACATCCAACTAGCATGACCTTACTAATACAGCCAAGACATCCAGGGAAG